CTTGTTTGACGTTCAATCTTCTTGAATTCGAGTTCTAGGGTTTCTTCTCTCAACAATGATGCCTCAATCGAATATCTAATGATTTGGAGGGTTTACCCATGTTAATAAGATGTTGGAAAATTGAAATTAACTTAGAATCACCATTAGGACTTACCTTGGATGGTGGAGGGACCTTTAAGGAGTTAGGTTTTTTAGAGTTCCCCTTTCTAGAGCAAGTTTTTATGTTTTGGGGCTGTGGGGGACGAAGTAGGGCTTTAAAATGAGCCCCCATTGAGCGCCCCCGCGCACCTGGTAGGCCTGACTGCGCTACTGACCGCGCAAAATGGCAGTAACACTGCCTCAAAAGAAGCGCGGCCGCGCTCAGGACGCGCATATCGCATACTGTTTGTTAAAATGCGCATAACATTTTGCACAGAGCTCCATTTGGGATCCACAATATATCGTCGGAAAGCTATTTCAAAGGCCTACAACTTTTATACTTTGAGTTTTCTCAAATTCCTTACAGATTTTCACTTAACCCTGCTGGAAGACAGACCTTTTGCAAACTTAGTCGATTTTGTCAAATCTTATGCACCTCACTCTCCGTCTTGATTCCAAAACAACTATTTTTACCCATACTCATCCTGCTAGGACTTCATATGTCTAGAATATCAAATTAATACCCATTTAATATGTCCACACCTAGTCCGAATGTACGGGATGTTACTAGCAGACGTGGCGGTAGTCCCTAAAAAAGAAAATAAACTTAGAATGTGCGAAGACTATAAGGATTTAAACAAAGCATGTCCTAAAGATTCCTTTCCTTTGCCGAATAGCGATCACATGATCAATGCCACGGCATGCCATGAGATCCTTAGCTTTCTCAATGCCTACTCCGGATACAGTCAAATATAAATGAACCAGGAGGATCAGGAAAAGACTTTGTTCATCACTAAGTACGGCACCTATTGTTATAACGTAATGTCGTTTGGACTAAAAAATGTCGGTGCTACTTATCAACGCCTAGTAAATCGAATGTTCTAAGAACAAATAGGTAAATTAATGGAGGTTTGTATTGACGATATGCTAGTTAAGTCCCCTGCGAGCAGAGGACCATTTAAAACATTTGCAGGAGACCTTTGACATACCGAGAAGGTACAAAATGAAGCTCAACCCAGAGAAATGTGCATTCGGGGTCGGTTCGGGCAAGTTTCCTCGGCTTTATGGTATCAAATCGGGGGATCGAAATCAACCCTGATAAAATCAAGGCAATCAAAGACATCACAGTTGTTGATAATCAAGGTTGTATAGAGGTTAACGGGGCGCATAGCCGCCCTAGGTCGATTTATTTCGAGGTCCTCAGATAGGAGACACCGGTTTTTCTCACTGCTTAAGAAGAAGAGAAATTTTACATGGACCCCCGAATGTCAACAAGCCTTGGAAGAACTCAAACGATACTTGTCGAGCCCGCCATTGCTTCACACCCCGAAAGCGGACAAGCAACTCTACTTATACTTAGCGGTCTCGGAGATAACAGTAAGTGGGGTCTTAGTTCGAGAAGAGAAAGGTACACAATTTCCTATTTACTATGTTAGTCGGACCCTCGGTGAGGCTGAGACCTGGTACCCACACTTAGAAAAATTAGCGCTTGCTTTAATAAGCGCCTCTAGGAAACTAAAACCATATTTTCAATGTCACCCAATTTGTGTGGTGACTACCTATCCCCTTCGCAATATATTGCATAAGCCCGAATCTTGGGTCGATTAGCCAAATGTGTCATCGAGATCAACGGGTACGATATCGAGTATCAACCCCGAACGGCCATCAAGTCTCAAATCTTGGCAGACTTCGTGGCCAACTTTATGCCAGCCCTCGTACCCGAGGTCGAAAAGGAATTATTAATAAAATCGGGTACATCATCGGGGGTGTGGATCCTCTTCACAGACGGTGCTTCGAACGTGAAAGGGTCCGGGCTAGGCATCGTTTTGAAGCCGCCCACAGGTAATACGATTAGACAATCTATCAAAACATCCAAGTTAACTAACAATGAGGCCGAGTATGAGGCCATGATTGCAGGTCTCGAGCTAGCTAAGAGTTTGGTAACAGAGGTCATCGAGGCCAAATGTGACTCCTTGCTTGTGGTAAACCAAGTCAACAGAACTTTCGAGGTTCGAGACGATCGAATGCAGAGGTAATTGAACGAACTACAGGTGGCCCTACACCGATTCAAAGAATGGATATTGCAGCACGTACCTCGAGAGCAAAACAGCGAGGCCGATGCTATTGCGAATTTGGGGTCATCGGTCGAAGATGATGATCTTAGCTCGGGGACTGCCGTACAAATTCGAAGTCAGTAATCGAAGAAGGCCACGCCGAAACAAACTCCACAAGACTAACATGGGATTGGAGGAATAAGTATATCAAATACCTAAAGAACGGGAAGCTTCAATCGGACCCTAAGGAATTGAGATCTTTGCTCACGAAGGCCGCACGATTCATATTGGCCAAAGAAGGAACATTGTATAGAAGGATGTTCGATAGACCGTTGGCAATATGTTTGGGTCCCGGAGATACCGACTACGTCCTACGGGAAATTTACGAGGGCACTTGCGGAAATCATTCTGGTGCCGAATCATTGGTTCACAAAGTCATCAGAGTAGGATACTATTGGGCCAATATGGAAAAGGACACTAAAGAATTTGTTCGAAAGTGCGACAAATGTCAAAGGTATGCACCGATGATCCACCAACTCGGAGAGCAACTCCACTCGGTTCTATCCCCATGGTCGTTCGTGAAATGGGGGATGGATATCGTCGTCCCTCTACCATCGGCCCCAAGTAAAGCTAAATTCATTTTGTTTATGACTGACTATTTCTCTAAGTGGGTTAAAGCACAGGCGTTCGAGAAAGTCAGAGAAAAAGAAGTCATAGACTTCATCTGGGACCACATTATATGCCATTTCGGAATGCCTGTCGAGATTGTATGCGATAATGGAAAGCAATTCGTCGGCAGCAAAGTGACAAAGTTTTTCGAAGACCACAAAATAAAAAGGATCCTGTCAATGCCGTATCATCCTAATGGGAACAGACAGGCCGAATCGACAAACAAGACCATCATCCAAAATCTAAAGAAAATATTGAACGAAGCTAAAGGAAAATGGAGAGAACGTCGAAATCCAGTACGTGGGCAACACCGTTCTCTTTAGTCTATGGTGCCGCAGCTCTGATCCCGATCGAAGTCGGGGAACCTAGCTTCAGGTTTCGGTATAAAACGGAAGAGTCAAATCAAGAGGCTATGAATATGAGCCTCGAATTTCTAGATGAAATATGGGAAGCCGCCCTCGTTTGAATGGCCGCACAGAAATAGCGGATCGAAAGGTATTACAACCGAAGAGCCAATCTTCGACACTTTAAATCGGGGACTTAGCTCTAAGAACGGTCACCATTAATACTCAAGACCCAAACAAAGGAAAACTTGGCCAGAACAGGGAGGGGCCGTATCAGGTCCTCGATATAGTCAAAAAATGATCCTACAAACTTGGCACGATGGACGACGAGCAATTACTAAACAATTGGAACGTATCACTCCTCAAATAATATTACTGCTAAGGTATGACCTTCTCCATTTTCATTTATATTTTATACTAACCAATTGCAGGTGTTGAATCGAAGACATCGAAGGATTCTTCATCACAAAGTCCTTAGATCTGAAAGCACGCGTTGCACTCTTTTTTCCTTGGACCGATTTTTGTCCCAAATGGGTTTTTCCGGCGAGGTTTTTAATGAGGTAACCATTGTTCGTGCTGACTTAGAGAAATTCAACAGGATCCGAGGCTTCTTTAAAATCATCCTCGAATACTAAGGGGCATCACCCTCGGATGTCAACTTTGTTACAAGGAAGATACTTCGTGTCAATAGGGTCTCGATAGGCAAAATTTTGTAAGGGCCAAACGGTCAAACGAACCGTGCCCATATAGATTACTCGAGCCCTAAAGGCAAACATGTACGCATGTATAATCTATTGAGAGAAGTATTTTTTCCTTAACAAATATTTCATGCCTTAGAGAAATTTTTTACAATTCCATACTTTTGGTCTATTGCGAAAACAGGCTTAAGGGCCGATCACAACTGAATTCAAACAACTTACCCCATACTCGGGGACTGCCGTACAAAAAATCGACGTAATCAAATTACTAAAGTCTCGAGATTATAAGACCTTAAAAAGGCAACCCTCGTTTTTATAGGCCACGGCCACCCCACTCGGGGACTGACACTTCGAACAAGTTCGAAATATAATCGGGAAACATGCCCAAGAGGAAAATTCCAGGTTAAAGGCTACGACCAAACTAACATGGTTCGAAGACGTCCGAATTCCGTAATAAAACAGGCTTTCTAATATCTTCACAAAACTGGTTAAAAAGGCTATCCTCGATAAAATTGTAAAGGGTTTCGATAACATCAACCCTCGAAAACCCTAAGGGGTACCGGATTGTTCGAACAACCTTATTTCATGCTAAGGCCTAACAAATTTTTATATGATTAACTTTTTTAAGCCGGAAAGGGAAAAAAGCCATTCTTTTGAGGCCATATCGGCCTAATTCAAAAGCCTAAGGGCCGTTTTTATTTTTTGAGCTCGAGAAGTCATCCTCACTCAACTAAAAACCTATGGGTCATCCTACTTCGAGTTCGAGCAGTTACTCACTTGATTGTAAAGACTACACTAGTGAGACCTCGATCAAATTGCCTAAGTTTCGAACTTATAAACAAAATTTTATAAGGCATGAATGAAACACAAGGCAGAAATTGAAATGAAAACAAGTCAGAGAGAAAAGAGTTCTTTTTATATATAAAGATATTTACAAGGACCGATCAAGGTCCTACACAAAAGATCAAAAAGAAAAATCCTAAAGTTCCAAACTATTCTCGGGGGCAGCTTCCTCTCTACCGGGGTCCTCCCCGCTCTTGGACCCGCTCTTGTTCCCGACATTATCTTCATCGTCGGAGGAGGCCAATGCCTTATCATTATCTCGTCGGATGGTCTTCAAGCTCTTTGGCCTTCCTTATCTCGTCAGTAAGATCGTAACCTCGAGCATGGATCTCCTCGAGGGTCTCCCTTCGAGATTGGCACTTGGCAAACTCGGCAATCCAAAGAGCTCGAGTTTGAGCGGCCTCAGTAGATTCTCTTGCTTGGACTTGAGAAGCTTTAGTATCAGATCGGTAGACGGCCACGATCGCCTCCGCGTCAGCCTTTGCTTTTTCTGCCTCAGATTTAGCTTTTGCGAGTTCGGTGGCCAACCGAGCCTCGAGCTCCTCTATTTTCTTGGCCTGAGCTGAGTTTTTCTCCTGTATGTCTTGAAGCTGACTTACGGCCGATGACAATTGGGCTCGAGCAACCTCTTTCTCTGAGGCTAGGCGGTCCATGTTTTGTTTCCACCCCAAGGTCTCCGCCTTCATCATGTTACCCTCCTCACGGAGCTGTTCGATTCTCTCGGCCTTCTGATGAACCTATGAGATTGAAGTGTTAGCCATCGTCCCCGATCAGGTCGGTCTTTTAAGATTTTCATTACCTACTCAATCAGGTCGGTCTATGCTTTGTGAGTCGTGGCCAATTCGGCTCGAAGGTCCTTGATCTCCTCTTCCTTTTGCCTGTTAAGAAGTTTGAGGGCATTTCTCTCCTCCGTGAGCCTTTGAAGATCGACCTCACATTGGCTCAGCTCTACTCGGGATTTGGAAAATGCCTCTTGATGGAGTGCCAAGGCCTATGCGGAAAGAAGAAAGGAAATTAGATAAGAAAAGAAGAAATAAACACAAGTGTGATATCGACATGGGAAGTTGAGACTTACCCGACTTAGGGCTTGTTGAGCCTCATCGAAGAGACTCGATGCTTCACTCGGGTCGGTACCATCTTCGACTCCGGTAAAGTACCCATGGAAGGGGTCCTCCCTCCGTGGGCTCCTTCTACATCGGGAGTCCTCATAGCTTGGGCCTCCTGAATTGCCTCCTCAGAAAATGCAGGGAGAGTCGGCGAGTCTCCAACCACTATTGCCTCAAGTGAGTCGCTTGGGGCATTATCTTCCTTTCGAAGGGCCTCGGAGCTGGCCCCTTCGAACATACTCGCCGATTGCTCATTTCAGTGGGAGGCATCTTCAGTCTCCAACAACTCAAGGACTTTGCTCGGGCCCTCTTCCAAGACCCCCTCGGTTCAAGGCGTAATCTCTTCAACCCTCACCGGCTCAGCAGCCTTTTGGGCCTCGGTGTTCCTCTTCACTCGGGCCACCAGTTCGGAGCCGTCGTCTTCATTTTCTTCTTCTTCCTCTCTTTTAGCTGATGAACTACCTCCGCCGGTAGGGCAACGATGTCTTTCTTCAGCTTATGAGCCAGATTTTTCTTGGGCTTTGGATCCTCGGAGGTTGATATCATTTTCCTTTTTTTATCTTTAACCGGTTTTGTGGCCGGGGGAAAACTCTCCTCCTCACCAGACGGGGGCCTCATGACGGCATCTTTTCCAATGCCTGTATGAAAGGAAATCAAATGAGTATGAAAGAGACATTTTAATAAAAATCATCAAATACATGAAAAGGGGCTTACCATGATTTTTGGCCTCCCATCGGCCCCTTGCTAAATCGCGCCATGAGCGCTCAACGTACAAGGAAGTCGAAGCCAGGTCTCAAATCCATCTCTCGAGGTTAGGAATTGCACCGGGCATCCAAGTTCCATATGAAACACTTCAAGTCACTATGCTCGAAATCGACAACCACGCGCAATTTGATGTCTGGAACCAAAGCAAATCATCATACCCACGGTGAAGCAAATAACATACACCACAACCCGAAAGGACATAACCGATACGCCATTCACCGAGCAATACCCAATACTCTTCTGGCTCGAATTCCACTACGAAACCCCAATAGAACCGTACCACATGTGCCTATAACCACAAATCATAGCGCCTCGCAACACAGAAAAGTAACCCATAGATCACCTCAGAACACTAACAGCTCAATAACAACCGAATCAACACATCTCTCACCAATAGCAACTCAAGACAACAATAGGTTGGAAGTCCTCACTCGAATGAACCGACCCATCCATCCTCGATCTTTATCCTCATCTATGCTCGAGAACATCACCTTGGTAGCTCGACGCTGAAGTTTTATTAACCCGCCTCAATAGAGACGGGGGCTGTACAACTTGATGAGGTGGTCGAGGGTGAAAGGCATCCCCTCGACTTTGCTCACGAAGAATCGGAGCAGAATAACAATCGGCCAAAAGGAGGTATGGATTTGACCTAGGGTTATTTGATATTTACGACAAAAATCAACGATGATGGGATCGAGGGGGCCCAGCGTGAAAGGGTAAGTGTAAACACTTAGAAACCCTTCCACATGGGTAGTGTGCCTTCTTCGGGGGTCGGAATCACCACCTCTTTGCCTTCCCAATTGCAGTCTTTCTTTACGTGCTTAAGGAAACTCTCAGTTATCGAGCATATATACCTCGACATTGGCTCGAATCGACCAGGGATCGACGATGTTTTCTCAATCTTAAAGTCGGAAGTAAGGACGCACCCCCGGGAACACACTCCTCAAGGCGCGGCTCCACCGGTGTTTTGTCGCTGGCCGACCGCGATGAAGAAGCATTTTTCTTTTGAGGAACAGTTATTGACATTTTTGCCATTTTGGTATGAGTTTGAAGAGAGAAGAAGATAATAGAACTTGGTGTTTGAGAGTGGATTAACAACAAACCCTGAAGGTTTTGTAGAAAGGAAGAACTTAAGAGATGTAAAAGCTTTGGAGATTTGAAGAAAGCGAAAGTAAAATCAATGGGAGAAGGGCCTATTTATGGGATTCACGGCGACGGTTCAAAGGCACTAGTGGCCGAACACCACCTGCCACTCATTATTGACTTGGGGAACCGACGTTTTGGTCACCTCCGTCGCTTACGTCACGAGGATGATGTCATGACAGGTCAAGGTAAAAAATCGAAGGCTCAATTTGTTTCTTGTCATTACACTCCTAAAAACGAGGGGACTATCTGTATACGGTTAAAACCGGGCCCACCCGATTTTACTATTTGACCGAGACCAGGGAGTTGCATCGAAGGTCGGCCCCGTAGTGGATCAAATCAAAGCACGGGGATAAGGTACCGAGTTCGGGAATCGAGGTACCTATCGAGATCGAGGCCAGTGGCGATCGAGACCAAATGAGACAAACGTCGAGCAAAATCGGAGATAGCATAATAACAGAAAGGCGAGATATCCGTGACTGGTCGAAGATCATGGCGTTAAACTGGGAACGGATTAAATCAGAAATGGTTAATTAGCTAATCTGGAATTTCCTTCTGTAATTAGAGTTATATCTTAAGTAGAATTCCTCTACTATACTGTTCGAAATTCTTGTTAATCGATCTTGTACCAAGAGAAATAGGCGAAGCTACAGTGTCTGCTTTCGGCCGAACTCAGTAGCTTCGGTTCAAATCATGTATTTGTCTTAAATTTTTTATTGAATATGTACAAATTATTAGTTTAAAACCCAATAGTACAAAAGGATTAGAATTCCGAACCCATAAACTTGAAATCCTAGCTTCGCCTTTGCCAAGAGAATGGCATGTTGTTTTACTAAATGTACAAAAAAACTAAAAGTGATGCTTGATGGGGAAATGAATTTAAATTCGAGACAACAATAAAGAGACAAGTATGATGTTTACACTGCAACAACAATAATAAACCCAGTAGTTTTTTACGAGTGGGGTCTGGGAAGGGTAAGATATATGCAGCCTTACTGTCACACCTCCTTTTTCCCGAGGGATAGGGAGTTTTTTCAATTAAAGTGACATTATTCGAAATGAAATTATTTATTTGATGTAGAGTCACCACTTGGAATAATTATTATAGTATACCAAGTCACCGATTTATTTTAAAATCCCAAATCGAGGAAATTGACTCTTATTTATGGTCCACGAATACAGAAAACCGGGTAAAGAATTCTGTTAACCCGGGAGAAGGTGTGAGGCACTCCCGAGTTCCGTGGTTTTAGCACGGTCGCTCAACTATTAATAATTGGCCTAATTATCTGAGTTATTACGTGTTTAAAACCTATTGCGCATTTTTAACTTTCGAACCGCTTTTAATTATTTTTAAAACAATTATGAAATTTATTTAAAACAAGGCGCGATGTCGCGGACTTATTATTTTTGTACACATTGCGAATCGCGTCACGTGAAACGCACCCATGACTTACAACATGTTTATTTTTATTATTATTTGAAGTTATGATCGAGTCACGTGAAAGCACACTCGAATTTGGATTATATATTATGACTATGCCATGAGAACCATACCCATAGTACCGATGATTTATTATTAATCGCGCCTAAAGCGCGCTATGATGTTTGTGATTTGTTTATTCTTCCTAAGATTTAAGGTTGCAAGAATTACAGAATCATTTGGCAAGAGTGCACGTTGATAGATTTTTAATATAAATTGTGAGAAGATTGCAATTTTGTGAATAATGCCAAATGACACTGTCAACACTTTGTCCAAACTAGCGATCGTCATTTGTGTTTTTCCCAAATTATACTAAGCACAATATAAACAGAGACATACTTTGATCTCAACTCGGAGTAACATTGTTTTACATTTATAATACTCAAATGAAAACGAGTACAGAATACTAATAATATCAACACTTTAATTGATAAACACCACACATCATGGTTTGCTTATTATTCTGCAGAACCTATTCGGACTGTTACAATGATAGTCAATTAACCTTTCCCCTAGGCTTGCTGCTTGAGGCCAATGAATTCAACATTCCATTAGAGACCAAAACTACTTTAGTCATACCTTTTCAAAGAGCAGCTCAAGAACTAAATTAATTTGGCTATTTTACTGCAAATTTGATCAACAGTGATCAGATCTATCAGTATCAGTCTTTTAGAACAAGCACGTAACCTTTTAAAGATCCAATTTTGTTGAACAATTGTGTAGAAGAAAAGTAGGAGCACACTCTGTTTTTTCCCAAATTCACATCAAATTCTCATATATAACAAAGCTAACACATTAAAGCTTGCCCATTGATATGGTAGGAACACATTGACTGATTTAGTTAGTTTAGGAAATATCAATTTAAATCTTCAGATTCATTAATCTTCAAGTAAAAGAACCAAATCAAACAAATAGAATATGCAGAAAAACATTACAAATTCGTGATAAATAAAAACAGTAATTACACCAAATCTGGGAAGGGAAAGTACCTAAACGACAAAAATTGAAATAGAGCAGCCAAATAAAGGCAAAAGCAGCTACAGTTGGAGCTCAGCCAATCCCAGAACAATAGAAGAGAACATCAGCGATCAAAAAATACTTCTAACAACTCAAAGACCCTTTAAATTTCCAGAAATACCAAATGAAGGAGCAAGATGTTACATCTCGCGTTTTCGTACGTTAAAGTTTCGTCTTCAGTTAATCGATGTAGACTCGAGATGAGATTATCTTGAGGTTAACATATTTATGCTATTTATAACATGCGATAAGTAAGTGCCATGAAGGGTAAAGGGTACACGAATCAAAGAAAATGAGTTTCGTTAAAGGTTGTCGATTTGGGAGAAAATACGGTCCGAGCTATAATACCCGATATTTATGGACTAGTACCATACAAGGTACCATATGACCATGATAGTATGATGTATAAAGTATATTAAAAATGAATAGTCTTTTAAGTAATTTGAGATAATTCTTAATTATATGGATAATTGGTTAATTATGGGGTAACGGGACATTACCTAATTAATTAATAAATTATAAGATAAGATTAAACCCCCACCCCCATGTGGCAGCAAGCCACTACTAAGACATATGACTCTTAGTCATATTGGCTTAGGTAGCCATCTAAAGTAATAAGACACTTACGTGTAAATAAGTGTAAGACATTACAAGTTTGGTTTCATAGACATTACAAGTTTGGTTTCTTCCTAATTCAAATTCAAAACATTTTCAAACCAGAGGCTAAAACTCAATCCAACAAGCTTTCAACAAAATTTCTCGCAACCAAACAATTCCAACGAGAATTATTAGCACCTTAGCAACGTAAAAATTTTCGGTTCTGAAGGAGTACG